CCCTCGTATGGCCATCATCGATGTGTCCCTCTCTCCCACCACCGACATCGCTTACCGAATCCTCACAATGTTTGTGTGTGTGTGTGTGTGTGTGTGTGTGTGTGTGTGTGTGTGTGTTTGTGGCTGGCTGAATGCTGGCGTTTTTTTTAGGGAAAGTCCGTAAGACAGATAAAATTCATGAGCAAAAACAGTAGACGTCATGTACTGCAAAACGTGGCAGCTCCGTAGGAAGCATGAATGTTCGTTTCCACCTCTTGCAATATTTGCGAACATCCAAACTCCAACAAGAGGACAGCATTGAAGACCACACGTTTGTGCGTCAAGAGGCATTTATGACGACATGCGTTTCCCCTCTGCCATTCCTAAGTTCGGGCACATGTAATTGCAATCCAACACTTTTGTGCGACATCCATGCATGACCTCATCATCCCCTTTATGTGCCAGAAAATGCGATCTTCAAAATGTCATTCATGATTCAATTGATTGTTGTCTTAGCTAAATGTGGACCACACAATGACAACGAATGCACACACACACACACACACACACACACACACACACACACACACACACACAGAAAGAGAGAGAGAGAGAGAGAGAGAGAGACAAGTCGAAAACAAACGCAGAATTTGGCTGCGTATAATTACCAAACGACGACAATAGATGAACGACAAGGCTTGGACTTCGCAGTCGCAAGCCTAAAAATGTCGCAAAGTGCTCAGCAGGGGATGATCGTCGGTGCTCAACGATAATTTCAAAACACATAAAATCCTAAGACTACAGGATTATTAACTATCGTCGCTTGCACCAACCCCACAGCAACGGTCAAGCCACTCCGGAAGAAAAAAAAAATACGTAGATGAAAAAATTAGACAACCCCCCYCCCCCTGCCCCCCCCCCCGTCGGAGACATGCCTTCGAAGGACCACGAGGCATACTGATCAACGAAGACGGAGGAGGACAACGGGAGGATTGTAGAGCATGGGGCGTCAACGGGGGAGAAGACGCTGCAAGCGGCGAAGGGCAGTCTGTAAGTTCCTCGGGCAATGTCGTGAACGACAGGGTTCCTATTCTACCTCTCCCGTATAGCCTTCGCTATCTCCAGCAGTGCTTGGCACATGAGCTTACTCGCGTCGTCTGAAGCCCCGTAGTGCTTTCTCTGCACTTCCACCTTCGCTTCCATGGCTTCACATCGTCAAATTTGAATGGAACACTCACTCTTACTAACACTCTCCATCGTCGTCGTCATTAACGTCCCGTGCTTCTTCATGCATTCCGTGAGAACTTTGAAAGTTCGTTGCCTAACGTTCTTCCTCTTCCCGAAACTGCCACTGCTGCCCCTCGCTGGTGAAGACCCTTTTGTGGATTTGTCCTCTTCGTCATTGTCGTCGCCACCCGCGTCCCCATCGCTGACAGATTCAGAGCTACCAGCAAACCCAGACGACAGTTGCACACCACCGGAACTGCCTGTGTCGGCTACATTCTTCAGGTTTATGGTGTGACTCTTCGCGGTGGAACCCTTGATGTCCTCATACACGGCCCGATCCATGGTGAAATTGAAGCCACGAGCAGACCTCTCCTTCCCCGTCAATTGAAAGAATTCATGCTTCCCGGACTCCCCATGGAACAAGTGCACCTTCTTGAACTGTTGCATCAAGTTGTCCCATTTCTTCCCACACTTGTCGGCTGTCTTCTCCACGCCAACCTTCTTCGGCCTCTCTTCAACATCTGCCCACTTCCATTCCCTCGGCTTCATGTGAGCGCATGTGTGGCCCATCCCCTGCAAATGCGTGTCCTGGTCCCGCTTCGCCCTTATGAGGGCGACCATGTGGTCCCGCTTCGCCCTTATGAGGGCGACCAGAAGTTTCGCCTGGCCTCGCCCTCCACGTCACCTTCCCCCTCGCTTCCCGCAGCCGCCTTTTTTTTTCCCCTTCACACAGTTGACGAAGAACCCTTTCCGACCACCCATGGTTTTCTGTCGGGTCTGCTGAATGTCGGTCATCTCGTCGTTCCGCCGTTCGTCGTCCGAGGCGGCGTTGTCGTAATCGTCGCAATCCACTACCGCCGGCTCCTTCTCTGGCATCCCTTCCCGCACGTGCAGTCGCCGGACTCCCCACGTTATGCACTCCTCGCGTTCCCTACGCACCTCTTGCCGATGTTCCACCCACACCTACCTCCCGACCCATTCACCAGGAGCGCTCGCGAAATCTTCGTTCGTGGACACATGGCCAGCCGTGTGGCCACCCCTGCTTCCACCCCCGACAACGGCGATGGTGGCTGCATCCACTTCGGATGACTGGCAGTGGCACGTGGCGCTGACGACGACTGCGACTGGACTATCGGACACTCCCTTGTCTTCAGTGATGCCACCCATTCCCTGCTTGGAGCCTTTGCTGATCGACCGACTGCTGTCACTTACCCCGCGTCGTCGTCGGGGTGGGGATTGACGACGAGAGTGCGGGTCGTGGCTGACGAGCTCCCGCTACACACACTGAATGAAAGATTCACGCCGACTATGTCGTCGCTTTCACGAATGTCGTCTTCCAGTAGTTCGGTGAAAGACTGTCGACACGTCGTTTTACGATTCTCATACAACTGGCTCCCCGCCCACTCCTGGGTGGAGCCGCTTCCCAGTGCCACGGTACGTGACCGTGCTTCCTCCTCATCTGAAGTGTCTAACAGGGGTTGTTTGTGTGGTGGCAAATGCGCGTATGCACACGAATCGTACCGTGGCTTGCGACTCGGTCCGCTGGAGTTCTGTTCTTCGCCTGCCACCCTTCCATGATGACGGCCTTCATCGAGGAACGCCTCTTTCGTGTGCGCCCAGGCAGCCTACCGAGGATGCACACGTGGAAGACGACAACAAGGACAAGTGTGACCAACACCAGAAACACCAGTGGTAGTTTCCGGAAGACGTTGGCCATGAACGACACGTGGGGAAGGGCGGTAACTACAAGACGTCGGTACGACTGCACCAAACGGCGATGACACGACGGCAAGAAACGGCGACGAGAAGAGGGCAGCAAACGACGGACTGTACGGTTCGACTGGCGTCGTGTAGCTGGGAATAAAAAGTTTGCCGGCCTCAAATATTTGAATTTTTTGTCAGTTGGGGCCGCTTTCCGTTTGGCGCCACGCACTGTGAGGGAGAACGGTTGTGGACAACATGCGAGGGAGTCGGCAGGCCACCAACGGTTGTCGTTGGGGTACGGTTCCTGGAGGCTGAACGTTGAAAACCGACGATGTTCGTGCGCCGCCCGGTAGGAACTCCATTGGACCAGCTGACCAAAATTTATTGTCGACGACGGGTGCCATCGCCGCTCCGTTTATCGCGGATCCTTCGCCTCCAAGGGACCTCGGGAGGTACCATAGGGGAAACTGCAAAATGGCTGTGGTCCAAGGATTTCCGTAAGCTTCAAGGGTGGGGAAAAGGGATAGGAGGCGAGAACGGATTTTGAGATCGGGGTGAGGTCGTACTGTGTGCCGAAACACTGAATAGAGTTCACATTGTCTATTAGTAATGACGATAGCCGTGTGATCGGCTCACCCAGAGAGAGAGAGAGAGAGAGAGAGAGAGAGAGAGAGAGAGAGAGAGGTAATCACGGATAAACCAGGGTTGTGCAAGCAACCAGCCAGTTGGACCCCCGGTCGAGCAACAGGAAATCCAGTTGGGCCTAAAAGTGGGTAAAATAAATAAGTAAATTGAAAACATGATTGGACTGTGCTGATCGAGATCTCACCCGAATCCGCAAACAAAACTTTGAACCGAAAAGTTCCGTTTTGGGGGTTCGAGGGGTGGGGAGGTATTTCAGGGGTTGGGGGTCGGGAGTTGGGGGGTGGGTTGATGGTGAGGGTGTTAGTGGTGGGGTTTCAGCAAGCAAGTACGGGCTTCAACAGACATTTACAACAACGTACATGGCTTTCTGCAAACGTTAACCTTTCGCTCAAAAACTTTGAAAAGTGGGATGGGGGTGTTAGTAGCAGGGTAGGGACAATACTTCCCACCCAAAACTTTGAAAAGGGGGGTGGGGATGATAGTGTTAGGGGGTGCTTGTCACTGCTGTTTGGTCCAAGCTGCCCTCGATACTGGTAGGGTGATGGTCCTGAGTGCTGGTCACACTGAGGTAGGATAGTAGGGGTAGGGGGTGCGCTGGGAGCATTAACGTGGGGAAGGGTAGGGCAAGTGGCCTATCCTCTCAAGACAACCACCGGCTGCCGCTGCCAGCGATCACTGTGCGTCTAGTCCTTGGCCTCTAGAAAACCCACCGTGGGTCTAATCCTTGGCCTCTACAACACCTTGGGCCTCTAAAAAATAAAAAGAAAAATGAAAAGAAAGGATGTGCTTCAGCCATCCTTGGGGGAACCGGCCCGGTCGAGCAGCCGGTAGGACCAGTCCGGTTCGGGTTGGGGGAGGGCCCCCTGGTCCTACTGGGTGGTCCCACTGGGTTTACAGCACTGGGATAAACCAATTACCGTTCTTGCACAATTTAGCAGTTTTGTTTGTGGGTTCGTGAGAGGGTGCAGGCATCACACTGCAGAGGGGTGTCGTATGAGAGTGAGCATATCATGTGTATGATTTAGTATCGATCGTAAATCTTGATCGTAGCAACGTAGGCACAGGGGTCCCTTCTTTTTCTTAAAGGGGCGTAGGAGGATTCTTTTAAGTCCCCAAACAAAATAAAATCTCATTGAATTCATCAAAGGCCTTGAAATCTAAAGAAGAAAAAAAATGGGCCGATCTAGACTGTAGATCCACGCATATTGAGTGCCCGGATTGCCATTAGGAACTCGAGCTTACTGTTACACCGGTAAGTTCCCTTTTGAGTCTTGTGGCAAAGCGGGGGCGAGGGGAAGGTAGGTGGGGAGTCGAGCAGTGGGGCATCTCTCTCTCTCTCTCTCTCTCTCTCTCTCTCTCTCTCTCTCTCTCTCTCT